GAAATGTAATCAAAGTCAAATAATTTTGTAAACTTCGTGAACATATGTTTAAAGAAACCAAATCTTAAATGTTTCAGCCATTCTACTTCCATTTACTTTGATTTTAACCATCTCCCACGATTCTACTAAATTTCATGCGCTTGGCTAATTTACATACAAATACACAAATTTGCAAATTGCACAGTAAAATTAATTTCAACATTCTAAGACATAACGACAAAAGTCTCAATTGTAGGTAACGTCATCCCTGGTTTTATATAGTATACAGTACATTGCAAAATTTACTGGCAAATGAGTTAAATCCAAATGTAATATTGCTTACTGGCTTAGATGAATCACGATCAGCTGTATTGAGGTAAACAAAAATCAACAGACAAATGGCTTCTGATGCTATTCTTATGGAGAACATTTTACGTTATATTATTGACTAAGTCAAAGGTTTTATCAAATTTTGTGTTAAAATTTGGGGAATTTCACTATTTTTCCGGGATCGAGACCATTAATTTGAACCCTCTCCCGTCGTTCTACGACCACCCAGTCGCCCACAATTTTGACGCAAAGAATCGGCTTTCGTAATTAATATATAGATAGATATTTAATTTCCACAAAATCAGTTAATGTAACCAATGCGTTTCGTTGAATTGAAAAACAAAGAACACAATTAAATTAAACAGCTGATGTAAACAATATTATGTTCTTCGAAAGGATAACATGGGAACTTAAAAAGCCACTGTGGCAGAGGCCAAGGGACTTTTTCAAAAAATGTAGGCCAGTTTGCAAATCTACGCAACACGCTCTTTCCAATGAGACGTCAGTGGATAAAATCGGTTAAGAAATGGTGGAGGATTCAACCGACAAACTTCGTGTTCGCGTATTAATTATATAGATTTCATATGTGCATGAAATGTTGGTGTGAAACCAACTTGTATAACTTTAAGCTAAATGGTTTAAGTTACCTGGCTTCGTCAAGTGATCCTTCTTCAGTATTACACTACTATAGTTTCGGACTTGAAAATAAGTCCATCTTCAGAAAACGTCAATAGGTCATCTAACCAAATTGGTTAGATGACCTATTGACGTTTTTGTTAACCTGAAGATGGACTTCCAGAGGCTACCTCACCATGTATACCTTTGAAGTAGAGGCTATATTTATTCCCAAAAGGTATCAAACGCCAGCTCCTGATCAAATCTTTTCTATCACTTTAAAGTTTGTTTCGTGTTTTTAGTCTTCACGTACAGAGACTTAAATCTTTGTATTAAATTGTTAGCAATCATAAATCGTGGACAGAATCTTCCACAAAAGATAAATACAATATAGTTCAACACCCTAGAACTCCTTAAAAAAAATATGTTTTGTTAAGGCTTCGTCATAATGTTAAACATACTCAATACAACAAATTCATTAATTTTACATATGTAAACGTTGATAGTTGTGTGCGTATTGTATTTTAATATATCTTCTGTATACATCTAGTCCTCTATATTTTCTGTGTACACAAATGCTTCTGTATACACTTTTTTTGCAACTCACAGTAACTGAGAAATATTCTAAACTGGTGAACTGTTTTTATAAATTTTTGCCATTATTTCTCAACCCGTGCTTAAAAAATTAGTGACTCGTGGATAAATCCAGATACAAAATTTAATCTAAATCGGACCACAGGTTTTGTCTGTAGCTCTGTATCTGGATCATACAAGTGTGTATTATATAACCTGATATTAGTCAAAATCTATCTATATATTAATAGGCAAGCATGTTTCTTTAAAACCTTTTTTCTCAGCTCGTGTGTATCGTAGGGAAAATCTACGCATACCGTTAGAAAGCTATTTTCCTGTAGGTGTGCAGAATCCCTTTATAAATTAAAATAGGCTCAAAAATAAGCACAAAAAATGAATTTGAAATTTTAAAAAATTAACATGGGTCTTATGGGTTGTTATGGTGATGACGAAATAACAACACAATATAAACAGAAAATCAAAACAAATGGAAGACATTCCAATCACATGTTTTATTTACAGTGTGGGGTGAAAATAGAGAAGTTTGTACAAAACATACTTTTGGTCGATTTTTCGACCACGGGGCGTGCTCTCGTATGTTTTATTCTATAACGTTTAATTTAATTCAACATAAAAGTCATGCTCCCTCCATTTTTAAAGTATTCAGTCCAAAAATGTAATAAATTTACTTGTGCATACATATTTATTTCGTTTTAATAAATAATTGAGGTGATGCAATACACTTATGTAGGCAGTCGCAGCAGTCGAATCCGGGCATAGCGCCTAAAGTTTCACGAACGCAAACCGCGCAACGAGTAGCTAAATGAGCCGTAGAGTAAGTGAGCCATCTAATATTTTGAAGAGGGTTCACTTACTCTACGGATCATAGTGCCAATGAACTGTAGAGTAAGTGAGCCATCTAATATTTTTCTGCAGGCTCGTATAGTATACGAGCCTATTCCTATAATTTATATTATTCATTATTTTGGCTCGTATACTATACGAGCCGATTCCTAAATTATCAAATAATTCGTAAGCTTGGCTCATAGTCACTATGATCTGTAGAGTAAGCGAACCTTCCTACTGTATTTTTAAATATAATACACGAGGCTCATAGGCACAATGATTCGTAGAGTAAGTGAACCCTCTTCATTTATTTTTTATTTTCGATAGGCTCGTATAGTATACGAGCCTGTAGTGCAAGTGAACCTTCAATATTATTTAAAAAGCTCGTATAGTCTATGATCTGTAGAGTAAGTGAGCTGTCCCCATAACATACACACCAAATTATCTCCCCCCTGTAACAGCAAACCTAGGTACTCATTGAAATTAATAATATTCATATAGGAAATATTTCTTACAATTACTAGGGAAGAATTTAGTAGAATTACAGCAAGGTAAATGGAAAATTGATTTCTCTGCAGGTTCACTGACGCGGGAGTATTTTAATTTTACGGGAGGCAGTACACAATAATGATATCTTACTCATCATCATTGACACAACCATTACGGATAATTATTATTATTACCGTAACATAATTAAAGAAGTAACTAAATCCAAAAAGATTACACAAACAAATTTACTTAATTACGTAAAAAAAAGTATATATCATAAAGCATTTTTTATGCTATATGATATTTATGGTTATACCATCGCAGGTGAAGCCGAAGGTACTTGCTAAGTAATGAATAACCCTTACATTGACATTGATCAAACAAAAGCCATGAAATGATTAGGGATATGCCTCAGACCCCAAATGAACGAAGGGTAAAAATTTGTTGAGTATATAAAAAATTTCATATAAATATAAAATGCAAATCAAATAATTTGCATACTACTTTTTAATGTATTTAGTATCAGACACAAACAAGAGTTAGAGTCAAGAGTTAGTGAATTATTGAGTTAATTCAAGACTTGTATTATTGAATTGGTATCTTTCAATCATAAAGTCTTTTAAGTCTAGCATTAAGTCTTTCGATCTAAGATTTTAAATTCAGGGATTATAATTTAGTTACATACATCAACATGGCATCAACCGATATACGCCGTCTGCAATTATGGTGCCTTGTTAGAAGGCAATCTATATATACCACAGTGAGGCAAGCAGTATTTGACAAATACGGGAGTTAGAAACTGTATGAGGAAAATTAAGATTTCCTAAACAAATTGGGCTGTTATCTAGATACATATTTTACTTTATAAAAAGATAAGTTACTTCAGATAAAAACAGTATAAACCACAAAGTAAACTACCTATTTGTTCCATAATACTTAATTCTATGTTCTAATAGCAAAAAATAAAATGTTAGCCTACTGAGAGTATTCTCAGAAGATTAACTCTTCTATTAGGAGTATTTTATTCCATCTATGTTTGATAATATTGTTGTCATGATGGTTAAATTTAAAAAAGGAGATGTAAAAAAAATTATCATAGCATATATTTAAGGCCAATACATACGCTAAGAGAATTGTAAAACTATACGAAGAGTGCTTCAAAGGGCATTTTAATACTCCATTGATAAAATACAAACAGTATTTTAGTAATTGCCTTTACGTGATATAAATTAGAACAAAACTAAAATTAATTAAAAACTCCGTTATACTTAATGGCTAATTTATGTGACAATATTTATCTAACATAGAGCGAATTAAAATGTTGTTTTTAAACATTGTCTGAATATACGTCTTAAATATGATGTTGAAATGGTTTTTGGACAAAAAATACACACACCAAATAAGTAGTTTGGTTACTTTTCTATACAGATCTAAACTCGAGTGTCTAAACTTTTCCCCTGACATTAGCAACGCGGCTGGTTACGGCGTTCATCGCCTTCAATCTGAGAGACGCAACAGTTCTAGCATTTTGGATGTTCCGATCTGACTAGTAGCGTTTTGGAAATTCCGACCCGACATACGATCGCAAGATCCAAAGTGAAAAGGACAGCCTATTTCATAAGTTTACTTTAAGAAATAAATTTGTACTTCTAGTTATGACTGTACTTTTGGATCTTACGATTTTGGAACTTCCGATCGGCAATATTTTCTTTGGATCTTTTGATTTTGGATCTTCCGACCTGCTAAATAACCTTTGGAAATTCCGATTTTGGAACATCCGATCGGCAATATAAACGTTGGATCTTTCGATTTTGGAACTTCCGATCGGCAATATATTCTTTGGATCTTCCGATTTTGGAACTTTTGAAGACCATCCGTTAGCTAAATTTATTACAACATTCGGGAATAGTATTGATTATATTTGTATTATTTGTTATTAGAGACATATATTATATATTACCCTATATTGTGATTTAACATTTTTAGGTTCAGTCATAGACTAAACAACACAAGGGCGTATGTTATGGTCGAATTTTGTGAAACATGATGAAACTATAATCCGTGGCAGATCGAAAATCGTATACTATGTCCTATCTCCAGACAGCAGACATACTTTTCTATTTCACTGTGCAGACAGCAAAGCGAAAGCCAATAGCAACAGCAGAAGCAGAAGAGAAGATACGGAGTACGGACGGAGATAAAAAAGTCAGAGAACTAGAATCGAAGTGTCAACCCTTTTGTCACTATTAACTTGGATCCGCTTTTGGGTGTGTAAAATAAGATATTCTTAATCATAAATGCTCTCGTCAACGATATAAATGTTTGATGTACCTATCTGGTTTTGGTTTAAATACTTAATATACTTAATAGTTCTCGTAATGTATTAACATTTTTCTCATAGGTTTTACTGATAACTTAGCTTCTCTCAGCCCCTAAGGACTCATCCAAGGGATTTTTATTTTGAAAATAGAGATTTAAAGTGTATTTTATTCTTATATATATATATATATTTCCTCAGATATTCAAACTATTATATCTAGTTTAAGCTTCCTATCAAAGTTAGGCTTGTAGAACCATAAATGGGTTTTACATCATCCACCTTGTGCCTAACCCCTATTTGAGTTGTAATTTTGGATTTACCTAAGTATCGAATTAATTACTCTATGCAAATTAAGTTTAGGCTATATTAACGGTACATAAACTTATGTCATAATAATTTGATTATCTAGGATAATAGTCATGCTTTGCATAAGTTATTTACAGTATTAACATATTTTCCATATATATTGCCTGGAACATTAAGCTCATTCTGTCTTGGAAAAAAAGGCAATTTCTAAATCAATAAGCTGGTCAATTATAATTAACTATTCATTTTATTGTATAAACCAAGGAATTTTTGAGTCCTTAGCCATGTAGTTGCTTGCACAAAAACTATTTTATGCATCGGCTTATCATCAGCTCAATCTAGGCAATTACTACACACCTAATTTTATAAATTTTTTTCTAATTTCAGTTTTGTAGGCTTGATTCATGCTTGGTTTTATTTATCTGATACAAACTGCTTTAACAGGCCTAACATTTGTGATGTTATATTTTCATTACATAATGATAGGCCTACTTTAAGGATTAAACTGGCTCCATGATACCCGACTCGAACAGGTATTGATTCCATCAAATTATCAAATTGGTATTAATTTGATCAATAATCCAACTTCAACCAACCAAAACCCTAAACTTTTGTTATAGATTGTAAGGCAAGTGTAACAATCAATAATAAGTTAACTTTCACAATCTACAGTAAACAATGAAGGAAAATGTTAAGGTTTTGCCATTTAAATGATCATACCCATAAAACAGATCTTTCCTTACCTCAGACTTATTTGTTTTTCATTAAGAAATATTACCTTCCTTGTATTTACTACGTAACTAAATTTGATGCAATTTGGTCCATATTGTTTTGTTTTAGGCAGCAAGACTGTTTATTAGGTCATGACCCAAGCTGCAACTCAACCCAGGAACAGTCCAGTAGTTGAGAAACACCTTCACGAGATGATGCGAGACACTCCGTCGATGAATGAGAGTAGCAAGGCCGTCCACTCTGGTACAACACCCCCCACTCCTCAAAGAGGTTACAACCAGGCTCCAGCATCACTACCGCTGTCCAACTGTGCTTGTAAGTGTATAATCTACCGTACTGCTGAATTTTAGTGATGCACGATTTTTCAATCGTTTTAATTTTTAATCCATTGACAAAACGTAATCCATTGATTTTTTTGGTCTGCATTTACAAAATGTGCCTGGTCTAAGAAAATGAATAGAGAAAATTGCGTGCTTTAGAAACACAAAATAGACCTTTCAATGCAAGCCGTTAACACTAACTGATTTTTACCAGAGGAACTATTAAAATATGAATTAGGGTATGCCGGTAAAAGGTAATGTTGAAATGGAATAGTTTTATCGCTTACACCATCTAGTGTTTGCAAAAACAAATGGATTTTTTTAATGAATGAATCTGAATGCAGAATATTAACAATTAGAACATTTTGAAAATAAAATTCATTAAAAATTCAACCAGTCAAGAACGGTTACATCCTGGAATTATGCTTCGCTACTGCTGATGACTATTTTAGGTCCACAGTTTATTAATGCCCTTCTGATATATATAATTTTCTCTAGTTGTACATCTCAGTTCCACAGACAAGCAGGAGGCTGACAAGTTAGAGAAACTTTGGGTTATATAAACAACAACACAAGAGATTGGTCCATTGTAAAACTTCCTTTTTTATATCTAGCCTACATAGTTGCTTAATTCACAATATAATATCATTTACATATATCTAAAATTACAGTTTTCTCTGTACATTGCGTAGAATCATGAAGTTTTTGGTTATTTTTATTTTTTATAGCCTAAGAAAGCAGAAAAAAACTGATTACTATTTCAATTTCTGTCTGTCTGTAAAGGCAAAATACCACTTTATGCGGCCCACTCCTAGAAATCCAGAGTACAGATCAAGAATCACTATAGCCTATTCACTGAATTGGCGAGAATGTTTTTGTAGCTATCAAAAAATGGCCTAACTACTTTGAAAAAAACCAACAAAAAAACAAATGTTCACAATTGTTTAAAGTGTCCAGTTTTGTGTCACATTTTTCATAATGTTTAATACATAGCCTACATCATTTATCAAATCAATACTGTAATCTGTTTAGGTTTACAGAATATGTATTCTTTGAAATACAAACATCTGTTTGGATGAATATTCTTTCTTCAAACTATTCCTGATTTTCACATCAAAAGTTGTTTACCAAAAGTGAAGTTATTTCTGATCACGTTTTGTAACCAAATCTAGAACCAATCAATAAACATTAGACTTAAATAACAGAAGATCGCAAGTAGGGGACAGTGGGGCACATTTGAACATGGGGTACATTTGAACGGTTTAAATTTGCCGTCATTTTTATACTCGCAGGCCATTGGACCAGATGTAAAATGTAGCCCTCCAATAGGGCAACTGGTTGCATTCATCTCCCTCCATTTCTGATCAGTTCTTAGTTTGTTGTTGGGAAAAGAAGTTTTAGAGCGCCATAAGAAAATTTTTTAAGCAGTAGGGATTTTTAAATTTTCCATAGAAAAACTACATTACAGATAAGTTTGATCCATTTACCTTGTGGCTTATACATATTTCGATACAACTATGCACTTCACATTGATAAATTACAATCCAAGAAAACATAGGCTAATTTAACTTTTTGCAAAATGGTGTCTAGTGGGGTAGATTTGAACAAGAGTCTGAGGGGTACATTTGAACACCACTGTTTTCCTCTGGTAAGCATGATGTTCAAATGTACCCCAACTGATTATATTTGTTTCCTATACAAGACAGTAATGAATAATGATAATTTAAAACTATAAGCTTCCTCAACCAACAATGAGTGTGAGAACTGCACGTGCAGCGAACTAATATAATTTTGCTATTAACTTTGCAACATTTAGCTATAAATAACATGAATCTAAAACATTAAATGAAGAATTAGTTCCAATAGAAATAAGAACTGTTTTTATCAACTCACATGCATAACGATTTCTGTAAAATAAAAATTTTCATTTTACTTAATTAGTGTGTTAAATTGTACCCCACTTCTTCACTGGTGGGATACTTTTGAACGATTTGCATACCTTTGTGAAAACAGATATTGCACATTAACATGTTAACTTGGAGGGTTTAAAAAATATCAATCAATCAATCAATTATTGAGATGGGGACGCCATCTAGGTGCGTATTTTAACCCAAATATGAGTGAAGGATGAGTGTAGAATGGTGTGTGATGACCTGTGTAGCTTTGTTACTGACTAAGATCAGCGGTTTCATTAGTCAGGATCATTTATTTAAAGCCCAATGATCAGGAACAGCTGGGTCCAGTTTCGAACCATCAAAAAGCTACTAACTTTTCTCAGGATCGAACCGGCGACCTTTTGATTACTAGGCGAGCACTATAACCACTCAGCTACCCTCAATTAAAGCTAACATTATGTTACAACTAAATGTAATAATATTTTTATTAAAAACACATAAACTCACCTATAAAAAATTAAAGTTTAAAAAGTGTTCAAATGTGCCCCACTCTCCCCTGCCTACTACAGTTTTTGTAACTGTAAATGAAATACAATGACTAGGTACCATCCAGCCCATGAAGCTGGAGATTCTGTCTGTATAAAATTGTACTGAACTTGAGTTTTAATAACTTAACTGGGGAAAATACCATGAATCAGTTTTGAATAGGACTAGGCAATTTTTATATATTCGTCGCCAATAGCCTATAATCGAGGCTGGCTTAGGGTCCTGTGGATTCGGAAATACATCCGGACTTCTGGGTTATCAGGTGCCTAGTTTACAAGACTGTAGTTAATGTAACTCAAGAACTTTTGCAAACGTATGTATTGTTAAAGTTGAATTGGATTTATCACCAAAGAGGTTCTAAGAATGGTTACAAAATATGATACGTACTGGTACTAGTATTATAGCTACAAGAAAATACAAAGATAAGTTCTTTTTTCAGCTCCGGCAGCTCAAAGTCCAACATCACCCAGTCAAAATGGTGACTCGCAGATGTTAAAAATACCCCCATCAAAAATAGAGACGATAAAGAACTGGAGTATTTCAACCTACAAGTGTACAAAACAGTTGATGTTTGAAAAACTAGGGAAAACCTCTAGAACGGTTGATACAGGTAAGCATTTATTCATAACAGTTTTTTTTCAAAATATTAATTGCTGAATGTTTTCATTTTTATTATTATTGTTAGTACAGTTTGATTTGTCAGAGATTCACATTACGTTTTACGTTAACCTTTAATTAAAAGTAAGGATGATTCAATTAGATATATAGGGCTATCATTTGTCGCATGTGACCAAAGGCAATAAGATTATATAAAAAAAAAATGTAGTACCTAGTAGTAGGCCTATCTAATAAATAGTATAATATCTAAATATGCACAAAATTTAAGTCAAATGGATCTTAAAACTTTTAAGTGATGATGGAAATTATTCAAATCCCAATTAGCCTATAGCAAGTGCCTTTATATTTTGGCAAATAAACAAAAAACTTCTATTATCCACTCACATCAACACGTAAGTACACAAGAGCGATTTTAGTTTGATCAAAAAGCAACTAAATGAAATTGTTCAAGAAATCAAATCCTAATGTTTTTGTTTTTGTGTATTTCTAAGCGATCGTCATTTTTGTTTTTGTAAAGGAACAGGTTCAAAATCTGGTCTTTTCAATTGATCTATTTTAATCTAGCATAATTCTTTTGTAAGCTCGATAGTAAACGGCAAGTAGGTTGAGAAATGATCAAGATAATTCCATTAAGCTTGAGGATTTTTAAGGAGAGAGTATTAGCATTTTCCTACCCAATCTGTCAAATGTTTGTAAATTGTTTACGGTATGGAAAAATTGTTTTGAAGGTACTTGTTTGGTATCCCAGCAACAACAAGCTTTTCGAGACAATTTTAAAATTATTCAGTATACATTTTATTCAGTATAATGCCAAAATAAAATGCCCCATAACTGCTTGACCCGGGATGAAGTGATTAGAGAAATTTTAAAAGTGATCAAAAGCCTCAAGAGCAAAAATGGTTGCCCAGCGAATGAAATTTGTAAAGCTGTTAAACGAAAATGCAACTTGGAAAACTATGCCATTCGAGATGCTCTTAGAGTTGCAACACAGCGAAATCAGCTGGAATTTAGAGGTGACAGGTATTTTCTCTCTGGAAAGTCTGAAAAAGTAAAGAAGACTGCTTTAGAATCAAAGTTGGCTAAAAAATCACAATCAAATATTGTTGATCGAATGGAGAAAAAACATAGAACAAGAGCTAAAAAGAAAAGAAATAAAAAATGTAAAAAGAGGGAACCACTAAGGAAGACTAAAAGTGTAAAAAGCTTTACATGCACTGGCTGTTCAAAAGTCAACATTATATCAGATGCTACTGAACCGATTAAACGTAAAGTAACTTTCAAGCGTGAAGAAGAAATTATTGGAAGCAGTAGTAGTGACAAGAGCGAAAGTGAGTGTGATACTGATAGCAACTATCAAAGTCACCATGACAACCAACATAGGAGATCTGTGACCAGTCATATATATACCACCTACCGCAAATACATATACTTGCCCCTGTTCGACCCTAAATGTACCCTTGACGAATAAAAACATTTGGAGCTAAAATTAGTTATGACTAAAATACTTACTGTGTTTTTGGAGAAATATTTGGAAGGAGTAAGGTTTAATGTATTACACTTTTTTGCTGTGGAACATTATATTGATGATTGTGACTCTGTGCTAGTTCGCACAAATGGAAATACTTTTAATACTTTTAAATTAAATTGTGACCATACAAAGTAGGTATTTTAAGCAAATAAATGCGCAAATTAATGGAATACTACAGGAATTCGGCATTTCTGTTTCTCAGAATCCTGACAATTATTTTTATTAATAATAATGTGTTAAATTAGGGGAATAGAGATTCAGGTATGGTGATATAACTCTCTGTTGGGATTGCTGGGAATAGTCCCTACTGTGTTTAGATATTTGCTATAGGTAAACCAAATTGCATGGGAAAATGTACACTAAACCTAAACACTGGTACCAATATTGCGAGCCATGAATTGTGTAGCTACAGAACAAAGCTTTCTATACTTTTTAACAAAATTCTATTAACATATTGTCTGTGTATTCAAGTGGTTATAGTGCTTGCCTTCAAAGTATACTGGTACGATTATGTGTGGGATCGATTGAGATGCCACTTTTCATTGGGCTATCAGTTAATGATGCTTCCGACCTAACAAAAGGTCGATGTTAGATAGCAACAAGACCAGGCTGTTTGGACTGTTCCCTTTAAGTATATTAACATGCTAATTGTGTAGAAAACAGAAAAATACAACAACACTTGTGTTAATAGAGATGCTAACACATAATAATCTCTTCTGTACCATTTATTCTTAAGTTCAGACACCAACTAGACCACTTCCTCTCCTATTACTTCACAGTTCCTCTTCATCTGCTATATCTTTCCTCTCCTCTTCGTCCATCCACTCTTCCATCTCTCTTTATCTATCCAATCTTCCACCCCTCTTCATCCATCCACCTCCCATTAGGTGCTCTTGGCATTTGTATAATAATGATAATCACTTCATGATCCAAATTAAAAATATTTATTCCCCCTTATAATACATTTGTGAAACAATTCAGGAGTAACGTAATTGGTTTGTCATCAATATTGTTGAATGGCACAGTTTTAATTTTCTTTTTTACAAGAAAAACAGAAGTTGGAAGGTATGGAAATTTAAATTTAAAGTGATTACGATTGGTAAATGTAGACTGATTACGATTCGTAAATTTCAGAATTAGAGACGCAGATTGAACAGTTGAGAGACACACAGCGCAAGTACTCCAACATCTTGAGACTCTCACGAGCCTTGGCTAGTCACTTCTACCACGTGGTTCAAACTCAGGTAGGTTTGTAATACGAGGCACGTTTTTTAAGTAAGTACCGTTTTTAAATTTCTCCGTTCCAGCGCAGCGATTGGCATTTTCGACGTTTGCGCTCTGTACGTGCTTTTATTGGTAAGCCCTAGCCGGAAATTCGAGAACAATCGGCCGTGTTTACATCCGGTTTCGAGCATTCAAAATAGTGCCGCCAATTGAGACTGCCGCGGACTGTGAAGTGCACGCTGTAATTAGATTTTTAAGGGCTAAAGGTATGAAAGCCATTGAAAATCATCAACAGATAAGTAAAATGTGTAGCGAGAACATTATGAGTGACGGAATGGTACGCAAGTAGGTAAGGGCATTTAAATATGGCCCCACCAACGTTCATGATGAGTAACGCACTGGGCGGCATCATTACTGTCCCCGTACCCAGTGCATTGCTCATCATGAAGGTTGGTGGGGCCGTCTTTAAATGCCCTTACCTACTTGCGTACCATTCCGTCACACATAATGTTCTCGCCATACATTTCACTAATCTGTTGATGATTTTCAGTGGCTTTTACACCTTTAGCACTTAAAAATATAATTTCAGCGCGCACTTCACAGTCGGCAGCAGTCTCAATTGGCGGCACCATTTTGAATGCTCGAAACCTGATGTAAATATGGCCAATTGTTCTCGAATTTCTGGCTAGGGCTTACCAATAGATTTACGTACACAGCGCAAACGTCGAAAATGCCAATCGCAGCGCTGGAACGGAGAAATTTAAAAACGGTACTTACTTAAAAAAAACATGCCTCGTAATAATAATAAGGTAATAACAGGTTTGTGTGGTTAATGGTGCTTACTAGTTTAGTTTTTGACTCATTTGACCTAAAACTTTATCTATATTTTTCCTAAGGACATTAAGAAACTGGTCACTTTAAAGTGTCTAATTTTAAGAGTAGTATTTAAACTTTTCTCAACCATTGCCTTGTTTGAGCTTGTAATCGTACTGTGTCTTGAACATTGGCAAAGATACATCTATATTCCAATGAAAAATAAAAAATATTATAAACTTAAAATCAATTATTTTAAAATATACAAATCTGATTTTATCTATGAAGTTTTTGAGGATAGCTTTCCTACCTGAATGGGAAATAGTCAAAACTGGCACAAGAAACACAAAACTTAAGAATAATTCACTGTCACTGACAGCATTTTTACAATTAAGAAAGGTATGAGTTGAATAGAGAATTTTCTTCAAGCCTGGCTACCATTAGGCCTGGAGAAAACTTGCTTGTTAACTCAGAGGTTCTTTGGTTGCAAATGCTGTCAGTGACAGTGATATATTCTACTTTTGTGTGTATAGTGTAATATTTTGTGTTTCTCGGCAGAGTGAGCTCTTCCAGCCTTTAGCTTACTAAAAAAATAAAAAACATAAAAAAATCATAAAAATCTAGACTCTAGATATTTCATACTTAACCTCAAACTAATTCTATTTATGTTCATAATATTATTTCAGGTATTTAACATGAATATCCTTTATTCATGATGACCAAAATATATGAAGTTAAAGACATCCGGACTCATTGCAACCCGTTTGTTTTTAAGTAATATTTACCTATGTTCACAGCACGCACTCGGAGAGGCGTTCTCAGACCTGGCGCAGAAATCACCTGAACTGCAAGAGGAGTTTCTTTACAACTCAGAGACACAGAGAAACCTCACCAAGAACGGAGAAACTCTACTCAACGCTCTCAACTTCTTTGTGTCCTCGGTCAACACATTGTGTAATAAAACCATCGAAGACACTCTGCTGACTGTACGTCAGTACGAGACTGCTCGGTTAGTTACTGTCTTTGACTATTGATATTGAACGTCTCTAAACACTACCTAAAACATTAAACTGTAATAATTTTCTAAACTTGCACATATTGTTAAATATACGGGTACATACGGCAGTTTATGCATTGGCTATTGATTTAGACCAGACACACCAGTCAGGTCCAATTTGAGACTTGTCAAACTTGAGCTTGTTTAAAAAAAGTCACTTTGGACCCAATTAATAGAATATACTAGTTTAGATTACTCGGATAATGTACCTACATACTGTTTCTACTAGTGTGCTTATTTGTGATTGGTGTTTCAGCATTGAGTACGATGCGTATAGAACTGATCTGGAACTTCTCATACAATCTCCACGCTCAGAGAACACCTCACAACGACTGGAAGATGCTCAAGTATCGTTTGACAAGCACAAAGACGAGTTTGAGAAACTTCGCTCTGATGTCATAGTTAAACTCAAATTTCTCGACGAGAATAGAGTGAGTTTGAAAAATATGATATGTTTTGAGAAATATTTTAAGTGAAAAAAACTATCTAGGCCTATAAAATCAAATTAAAATCTTTATTGAATTTTTTTACACCTAACATGCATGGCATTGTTAACAATTCAGAATATAATACTCTTACATTATCCTATAGTCCGATGGCTGGTGAGTATTAAAATATGACTGTACTAAATATTAAGTTGTAACAACATACCAAGAAATTCAACATCTTCAGAAATCTCATAATGAGTTAGACTTAATTTAAGGACTTAAGCTTTATTTTTGTTCAACAAAGGGATTAGTTGCAGTCCAATCTTAAATTATTTTGTTTGATTGATCCAATAGCTGGTCAACTAGCCTAGCATTAAGACAATCAATTTGGATTGCCAAGTCATCTGCATACATATTTCCTCAATGTTCCAGAATGGCTGGCTAAGAATCATTTGGAGGAAGTTAAACAGGATTCGTAGCAGTTTTTAGATATAATTTATTATTTAACTTTGACCTTTTTGGATGACAAGTTCTAGTTTAAAACAGCCGTGAACGTCTTTACGTGGGCTTAAAGTAAATTACTAATTTCTGTGAAATATGTTGAAAGTCAATGGCTGCACTTAACATAAGAGGTCTGCAGGCCAGCCATTACTTGGGGTCGGGTCTAAATCAAGTTGCATTAGAAATTATTCATTTTTAAAAACATAATGGTTATTGTTTATATTACAATCAGTTTCTAAAATATTGTACCTCATCTCCTGTGTTCACAATGATATTGTGAACCTCTTTCGTGTTAGCGGAGGAATCAGGAATGCCTCCTGCGGTTGTGATGAAATGTTAAACGACTTTTGTCTTAGTGGGGAAATCATAAAAATCTTTCACAGTTGTAGCAAAATCCTAACCCCCTCCTGTTTCAGCGATCATGACAAAATTGTAAACATTGTTCGCAGTTTCGGAGACATCATCATAGAAGGTGGTAAAATACTTAACATATTTTGCAGTTTGGCAAAATTTGGAACGTCTCCTGCTCTTACGATCACAGCAAAATTGTAAACATCTTTTGCTGTCTTGGAGACATCATCATAGTTTTCCGCATCGTGACAAAATTTGAGTATTTGACCACGCAATCTTTGTAAACGCTCAACACGTGCTTAGAATAAAAGTTCGGCTTAAAAATCAAGGTGCTCACTCACCTTTGATTTAAATGGCCCAATCTGTACTTTTTCCTAAACCTTTTCCCAATTGACCTCGCAGGACAGCTGTGAAATTTACGGGACAAAAAAATTTTGGCCTAACATTGATTTATATGTTTGTTCCCAGATAAAAGTGATGCACAAACAGCTGTTGCTGTTCCACAACGCAATCTCAGCGTATTTCTCAGGCAACCAGCAAGCTCTAGAAGCGACACTCAAGCAGTTCAACATCAAGGTGAAGTCTCCGAACTCTGCCATTCCTTCGTGGCTAGAGCAATAGTCCTAGACTACACTTGCATTGTTATCTTTCATTACAAATACAGTATTTTAAATTGTATTTAATTTTGTTTCAACGGTTCGATTAGTGCCATGTCATACATGGTTAAGTATTTTTACGATTTCTGACATTCCTAAATAAATACATTTAACCGGCAGTAAATTGGTGAAAGTATGAAGTAATAATTTGGTTTTCTTGTTGGAGATTCAAAAATGTGTTTACAATTGTCAATCCATGACTTGTTTTTACTGTTACTAACACTTCAGAAATATTGCGAAGAATTGAATAGTGAATTTTCATTTGTTTATATTTTGCAGCTAAATATGTTTTTGCAATTGTTAAGCCAGCTCTAAATTCTTTGATACCAGCATTATGTCTTTATTTTATAGAATTTAGAGGAAATTGCTTTTAGGAAGATCCATTTTTACATATCACAATAATTTACAAGAACTGTTGTAGCATTGTAGTATCTGTTTTATTTCATTTTTCTGTCGGTCGGCCAGTTTTTATATTCTCTCTTTACATGTAAAAATTAATTTACAAAGGAAATTGATAACCAAAGTTTGGTTCATCATAACAAAATTAGTATATTTTACACTAAATTGATATTTAATCTTATAACAAGCGTGTTGGGGTTTTAATTTTGTAACTTGTTGTTGACTGTTGCTTTTTATGTATTTCGTTCCAGTACAAACATTCCAGCCAGCTATTTTAAGTATTATTCGGTAGATGTAGCTGTATATTTCTATAAAAATAAAATAAATTGCAAAAAAAAAACGAGCAGTCATAGTCTTTTATGGGGTCAGCTATGTAATCATGAATGGGAGACTTTTTGTAAAATATGATTTGTAGTCAGTTTAAGAAAGACACCATAGTGCCTATCTTATGGTTTTAGCTACACCCCATGTATTTTTGTTTTTAATATTTTGCACTAAAACCAATATTTCTCCACAGGTTTGCCAGAGTTAGCTGCACTCGGTTTACTTCTACAATTTTGCAATGTAAAATCTAATTTATTTTAACTTGTGCAATTTATAAGTATTATTTAATAATAGACACAAAAGTAGTTGTGAGATTCCTAAATCAAGTACAGGTATTTTGTACATAAGTATGGATGTACTTAATTTATTTATTTATTATAGTATAATATATTTTCCCAAATTAGTTTTAAGTTGTGTATATTTATTGATGTATGTGAATCTTATGGGTTTGGTTTAAGTGAGTAATGTATTGATTAAGTACCTACTATTAGGATTAGGCTATTTTTTTTATATAAACCCAAAATTAATGTTAGAGATAGGGATAGTTGTTCATAACTTTTACCAATACCGTCCTCACTAAATTGAAAGAATATAAGGTTGAATGCAATTGGCATGTTTGAAAATGTAAACAACATGTTATCACTTATCAATGTAACAGACCAACAACACCAAATTTTGTTCGAAAAACATTGGTTTAGTTATAATACTCACTTATGCACAAACCATTCACTGTCTGTTTCAGTTTACAAAATTAAATTGTAAAACGCATAATACATTATTAAAGAATAAATAAAAATATTTATCCCAAGACAACCTTGTCCAGTAATTTTCGGTGAAGAAGTTTTGTAACTTTCAAATGTTTACAAAGATATTATATTCAATTTCAAAGATAGCGAAAAGAGTTTCCATTGCATACAAATTTAATAATTACAGTATTAGAAATGTATCTGTACATTTACCTTTTACGGCTGATATATTTACTAAAAGATACAAGTTTGAGTAAAAATGATTTTTATAATTTAATACAGGGCCTGTTACTTATCTCACCAGCTCACAATTTGCACAAAACACATTGTTTTAGTTAAAGCCATTTTTATAATAGTTTTAAAAGTTGTGAATTAGTCTTATGAGTTTTGTTATTTTCATGTTTTACTTATTTATAAAAAAAATTGTGTAGTTTTAAGAACCATCAATTTTATGAGGTAAAAATTTAATTCATCGAGAGTTTTAAGTTAATTTTTGGATTTCTACCAAGACGAATCTCTTTACAGTGTTAGTTACTACATTACATCATTAGGTCACAAAATTTAACAAGCAAAACTGAATTTCTCTATAGTTTTTAATTGCTGAATTTGTTTGTGGATTTGGCACGAGTGGGAATTTTATTTTTTTCCCCAATGTAGGTCAAAAGACATAAATCTAGTCCTTTTCCTATTTAATGTGGAACTGCTGTTTGGTATCATTAAATTAATGGCCCAATGGCAAAAGACAATTATTAAGTCTTGAATAAATTCTTTCCAGGATCAGACGACTTGTTACCTTAAAATTTAAATGCAAGCTCTCATACCACTTGGCTAACCAGTCAATCTAAGTATGACTCCATGAATGGATTAGAATGCTTTTTAAACACTAGAAATATTCTATTTTACCTAAATTGATAATGATTTTAAGTGCAAATGTCTTTAGATAAGGATTTTGTGGTGGATAAGTTTAATAGGACACTCACCTTACTATGAATACAGATGAAAATTTACAAATAAACAAAGAATTGTTGGAGCTACTAGCTCCTTCAGTAGTTAAGTCTTTCATGTGTTATATTTTTGTGCATTTTCGTCGTGAGAGTAAGCTTGCCGTTAAATCTATCCACCACAAAATCCTTAAAAACCTTTTATTAAGACTAGTAAAACCTCCATGACATATAAGATATTTAACCTAACATTTTAATAAAGATAGATGAAAAATCTTTCTACTCCTTTTTTTCTGTGGTTGTTCAGCACTTTGGATCTTAAGTCATACAGAGGTGCCCATCCCTACCAAGGTCAGGGGCGCAAAGTCCCCCTCATTTCATACTGCCCCTTACTCCTCCCCAAATAAAATAGCCACCTGCCCATTCCAAACAAAAATTTCAAGGATCTTACATTCACTTTCCAATGCAACAATGAAATAGTCATGATAGATGGTCTGTCTCTTCACCCCTCCCCAAATAATATAACAACAAACGCAAGACATGTTGCTGCTACGAGAGTGAAGAAAATAGAACTATTTTTCTCCGAGGATGCGGTATTTTTTCTGCCTGCATCATGTTATCTTGACAATTGCTTAAGTCTCTCATTGTAAACTTTTCTAGTTTATGCCGTTAATGATCAAATTGAATCAGTTGTCGTGACAATGTCTTCTCATTTACCCGGGGCTGCAAAGACATCATCATTGCCTCCTGTGATCGCGGGAATAAGTTGACATCCTTCCATGGTACGGTAGCGAAGATATCATCACCGACTCCTGTTAACGTGGGAATGGGTTTTTGTAAGGGACAACATCATTTTAGGGTTACCGTACTCATGAAAAACTTAATGCATTATTAATACAATGTAAAATGTGCAATGTGTAAAATAAAATCCCCTCTGGGCACCCCTGCACACAATTGATATTAAGTACCTACTGAATTTTATTGAACTGTTCCTGCTATCATGAGAAATGTGACAATAAATTGCATAAGGAAAGTTATGTTATTAAAACTAAGATTGTGGTTGTGAATGTATGGAAATCACCCTTAGTATTTATTGTAGGCCCCTGTTTCTAATTTACATCCCCTGAATTTGTTTCAAAAGTAATTCATACATGATGATATCTTTGTAACGACAGTCAAACATAATAACATGACAATGCTATTAAAATCACCTTTTAATTTTGCTTACTTTTGTAATTCCATGATTTGTGAAGAACTGACTGGTATTTAAGACAACCTGTAGCCTATGTTGTATATTTAGTTGTTGTGTTCCTCATAAATAGTTATTTATTGTTTGTTTATATTTTACAGTTTATTTAAGTTATGCAATTGCTAAGATGTGTGAGATTTTGTCCATATTTATTTACATTATGCTTTTGTAACTCTAGTCTGAATCAATAAAAAGAAACAAATTTGCACTGAGGGGTTTTCATCTCCTTTGACAACCTTTTTTGTCATACAACCCTGCGGTTTTCAAGGCATGCATAAGCCTGGTTAAAAGCAACCCTTTCCTCCCAAGGGTAAATGGTATCACCTAGAATCGAGAACATCAGCTATACATTTACCTGATTCGTTGTTAAATTTGTTTGATATTATTATGTTGTTAACATTGTGTATACCACTACAATTAATAGATGACATTTTATCAAGATTTAAATCAATTGAAACTTATTTAAATTTGGTAAATTTAACTTATCACTGTGATTGAGGAGTTGTACGGTTCAGTTTCATATAATTAATGGAAACTGCTGTGTGTATTAATTCTTATTGGCAAAACAATATGGATTCATCTCTTAGAAACTAACTACGGTAGGCCTACCTAATTATGGTCAACAAAGATTGACATTTTTATTAAGGGAGTTATAGCAAAGAAAGGTGCAGTATGATGAAAATTACAGCTCATGATAGTTAATGTACTGGCGCTTTAGTGACCACTCCAGTTATGCAAAGAATGGAATTTCTGCAAAAGGCTTGTTAGTACCTACATTCCATAAATATATTTACGCCACACTACATTATTTTGATGAACTTCCCACGCAAGGATTTAGTCCAGAAAACAGCTGTTTGCCGCCAGCTTATTCAAATGGGGTTTCATTGCGTACTACTGTACTGTAATGAGTTTTGCCGGACACCAATCAGCTGATTATACTATATTTAGGTGGCAATGAGTGGTTATAAACAAAAACATAACCTATGACTAGTGATTTTTAGTCCTTTAGTTGGTGAAAATATATTAGGATTTGTACAGATTTAGTAGTATGGCGTAAACTATCGTACGCAACTCATCCAAAATATGTGTAGGCCTACCGGACTCGTATGGTAATCCCGTACACGACTTTGTCTCGCAGGGGAACGACCACACTCGTCCAGTAAACACTTATTTTCAGGACTAGTAACGTAATATACTATTTCATGTAGATTCACATCAAAAAGTTATATGTACGGTACCTTAAAGCCTCCTTGAAGAAAAAAAACTAGTTGAAAATGAAAAAAAAAACTTTATTTACACTCACAGTTAATAACAAAAATCAACTTTGTTAATAGACGGGACCATCATCAAGGTTGTCATCTTCATCATCAAGATAACCTTCTCCGGAATCAAAGTAGTTTTGGTTGTAGTCCGTTCCATCGTCCATTTCTTCATCAACTTCGTCTTCTTCAACATCTTCAGCCTCTCCTGCTTCTTGTTCATCTTCATCTTTTTTCTTATCTCCATCTTCCTCCTCAGTTTCTTTAGTTTCTTCTGCAGTCTCTTTCTTCTCAAGCTCCTCCAACCTAGCATAAAGTCAAAGTTTAAATGAATCATAGGTAGGTAGTTTTTAAATATGTTTCAAAATAATCATAAGTATTTTTAAAACGACACTCCTAATAATTTCAGTTTTTTTAGTAAAGTTTTAGAAATTGAATATGCCTATACAAAAGATAAGAATCAAACTAACCACCAATGCTAGAGGCCAAAGGTAGCTTTTTTGTAGGTGCCAAAATTGAAAATTTTCTAACGGTGTGTTTAAAGTGTTCAAACATTTATTTTTTGGGGTACCTGTAGGGCAATCTTTTTAAGCATCATGCAAATATTTTATTAGGATGTAAGCACATATTGGATGTTTGCAAATTTATAACATTACACAACATATCACCATACAAGATCAGGACGAGACTAGATATCTATTGACCTAGACATAATAAAAGAATGATAAGATCTGGTTGCCTACTGTAGGAATATAGTTGATAAGATGGAATGATTCTAGATAATCTGAAACCAAGGTATAAATAATCAGTCTCAAAACATAATAAGGCATGTCCAATAATACAGTAGTAGCCTATAAGTAAGGCTTTCACGGTCACTTACAATATTATGGCCTTCAGGGCAAAACCATTACCATGTAAACTAATGTAGGCCTACAAGTAAGTTGTGCTGATGTTATGTCATTGTATAAAATGGTTATCTTTAGAGTTAAGTTTTAACCATATAGTCACCCTTAGTGCTTCATTACTGCTCTGAAGACAAACAATCATCTGCTTTGATACCCAGGGAAGATATTAGCATTTTACTTTAAGTGGTTTTTACCTCAAAGACCATCATAATGCACTATATAGGTAAAACTATTAGTGAATCTGAGTTGTAAGGCTTGAACTGAATTTTATAGCATGAAAAACACTACTGAAATTACAGCTAAAACTGACGTCCCACAGTTAATCATACGAAAGAACTTACCATGATGTTAAATTCCCAATGTTTTTCCTCGCCACTTTGTTTTGCAGAACACTTCCGCTGCCACTTTTCCTCTTCCTTTTGGTAAAAGTAGGTTTTAGCTCAGGTGGAACACACGACCAATCCATCTGGAAAGGCTTATCGGTAACTTTAGATTGTTCGGCGTCAGCAAATTGGCCAATCTCGACAGAAGACTGTCTCAACCTGACGAAAGCACTGGATTTGTTTAGATGTTCTAACAATGCGTTCTTCCGCTGCAGCTGTGAATCGTACGAAGGGTTTTGCAGGAGAGGGGCAGGTCTGAACTCCAGCGGAGGGTAAAGTGGAGGGGGTTGTAAGACAGGTCCAGGGAGCATCTCACCCGGAGCCAAACCTAGCTGTTCTACGTTGAATGATAGAGACGCTCTTCCTCTACCCCTCCCAGCTCCCGCCCCTCCTCGTCCTCTTGATGCCATTTTAAGTTGCTTTTATTTTTGTTTCCTTGGTTGAACTCTTTGATTCTTCCTCTTCTTCCTCAAGAAATTTATCCTGAAAGGTAATTTAATAGGTTAGATGGGAGGTCAGCTTATTTAAAGTGAATCAACTTTTTGAGTAAGGATAGAATTTTAGATTGATAATAAAGAATAATCACAATCACTACAGTGGTAAGCTTAGATAAATGTAGTTTGGTATTCATACAAGGTGTTAAGAAAATTTGGTTGCAAGCAAGCTATTCATAACCAACTTCACTCTAAAATTAAAATAAGTCTAAAACTTACTACGCCTATCACATTTAATTTAATTTTGGCTCTTTGCCTGCTTTTTGTAATCACTTTTTAAAAGTAGCCTAAGTAGACTTTTATTTTGGATCCACATAAAAAAAAATTCTTTGAAACTGGTAAAATATCTTTGGAGACTTACGATTGTATATAGGCCTACTGATACAACGATTGTAATTATAACGATATACAATTTGTACTGACCACACCTAATAATTATAACCTAACCTAACGGTGGTTAGGAAACTAAGCTAATTAAAATATTATTTGGAAGCCAATTTATTGGTGTGGTCGGTATAATATGTAAGTACCCGTAAAAGAATAAAAACGATCGACGATGATAGACTTAAAACGATTATACAGGGTGATTAGTAGGTAATTAAAACACCTCAAGCCTGCCCGTTTTTGACTCTGTCAGTGCCCCTTTGCAAAATATATAACAAGGTGTCCACCGGCCGGGAAATCTGGGAATTAACGAGTTTTCTTTAGCCGGGAATTGTGCATGCATTTTGTATTTCCACCTAATATTTAATTTTCCACAATCGTGCATGACAACAGTGACTGTGGGACACGATAATATGTCTACACACGGCCGCAAGGGATAATCAGATTTATGCCGCGATTGCACAAGAGGGAAAAGATAAGAATTTTGCCTCATTCGCAGAAGACGATGATAATCCCCACACCACCCCAGGATAGCATATATTTTCATATATTGCCACAATCATGGCAGACGATATTTATATCCACATGCCCGCGGGAAAGTCAAAATTTCACTGCGATCACGGGACACTATGATGATATCTACACAATTGTGGGAAATAATTAGTTATGCCACAATCGCAGGAGATGATTAGGATGTCTACACGGCTGCAGATACGATAATGATGTCTACAGAAAACTTTTTAAGTTTAAAGTTACTACAAAATATTAATTTGACATTTCTTGATTGTCTGTAGGTGAGCTTAAGTATTGTGCATCAGTGAATAGTAAATATCATCAAAATGATACAGGGTCTATATACTTTGTATGTTACTACTTTGTGTAACTCTGGAAAGACATCCTTTCACCATCATAAAAATTTAAGAAACCAACTCATGAACCCAACATCATGACGTTACTTACTCTATCGTAAATGACCTTGACTATCAAAGAACAGGTTGGGCATGTTGCTACTTCTTCACCAGCTTTTAACTCCTCCTGTAAAGAGATGATGAACTTAGCTATGAAATAAAATAAGACGCACTTAAAAATTAGCCTAAATCTTGGGAATCAGGTAAAAATTCCATATATACCGGTATGTGTGTGGCTTTGTCTTTGAAATACACTGCAAGTATCTTAAAGAGTTTCTTTTTGTCAAATCTTATTGTATATTTTTATGCCTCCTTTAAGCACGGGTCACACTAGGCCGCGAATTAAAAGAAGCTGCCGCTACTATCATCTTAATGTGGCCACAAAATTTGCGGCTGGTACCACAAGCCAGTCGAGTAGTATTTTTCAGCAGCTGGCTAAGTTGGACATGTTCTTTACTGTTATGTTTTTATCTGACTAGGTATAATAATAATTCGTAGGGTAGAAATGACTAAAGTAGTCGGGGAAACAGGTTTTTGATAGTTAAAATTAATTTCCAAACTAATCTTGCTTAGTGGGACGTTTTACCTAAGGAGTATTTAGATTAAAAAAGGGAAATTTCTTTCTCGCAACAGTGGTAGCTTATTTCTCGTTTCTTTGTGGAAATAAAATATAGATCATAGGCCTTCCTTAAAAACATTTAAGTATGACCTGGTGAAACTGACTTTAGTCAAAATTGTTATTCAATTGTTTGCTAAAATAGATTAATCCCTTTAACATGATATGAAGTTCATTTATAAAATTAAAGTTTGGAATGTTAGCCTATCTTTTGATTGGTAAAAAAATTAGCCTGAGTTATTTAATTTAAGAATCATTTTTAACAGTTTTATTTATTTTTTTTAGGTCAAAAACCCTTACTAAACGCGATTATCAAAGTCGCTGCCACTACAGACACCAGTACTGGTTTAGGAGGACCGACGGGCGATATGGCGACAAGAAATGAGCTTTAAAACTAGATGAGTACCGTAAAACGGGGTGACTTGAGCCCACTTTTGAACTTTGCTTGTTCATTAAAGTAAACCCATTAAATATTTTTTTATAAATCTTTTACAGTAAACTTAGTCTTGGTCCATTCTACAAATGTGTGGAATAAGATTTTTTTAAAGTTAGTGTAACTATTAAAAAAAAAATAAAATATGGGTAGGCTCAAGTCACCTCGTTGGTCGGGGTGACTTGAACCCAGCTGATATATTTCAATGCTATTCTAATGCACTAGACCCACTGCACTGACCCATGAGGTGACTTGAACCCACATATATAGCTGACTATTTTAGTATTTTTTTTAGATTAAAAATTCCTGTTTTTTTAGGTTTAATGACGGTAAGTGTAAAACAAAACACAAAGTTTTTGTCGAAACTGTAATAAATTTAAAAAAAACTTACAGAAACATTTAAACAAATTTTACTTACCAAATATTGAAGATCTGAATATGATTATTCAGAAAAAGTCCACCAGCAATTTTGGAAAATATAAAAAAAGTAATTTTTTCTGTAAATGAAATGTTGCCAATATCTCGTTCAAGTTAATCCGAACCGATTCGTCACTCCGATATAGAAAACTTCACAATAGACATTTTGACAGTCATTAATAGACTAACTAAATGTAAAAATAACAAATTGTTTTTTATCTACACACTACATATTTACACTAGTAAAAGCACTTGTTCTACTTTATGTCTTTGTCCATTAACCGCCACTTTTCCACTTCTGGAACGGCAAAAGATCCTCTGGCGGTAATGGGTGTGGGGGCTGCTTTTTCCTTTAACTTCTGCTTTGCTGTACCAGCACTCATCTACCTTCTGGCCATTTCCAATTACTAGGACCACTCATGGTCATTGTAGGCTACTTATTTTAAAGTCTTCCCCTGCATTACCAGTACCGGTACCTATGTCCGTTATCATGCCAGGGAAAAACTTGCCTTCATACATCACCAAGACATAGCAGCCTTTTTCATAAGCACTAGTTTTTGTTTCACATTTTTCTTTTATGTTGGAAAAAAATTTTCTTTCATTTTTCTTGCTACTTAATTTAGTTTCTATCTTCTTGCTACTTCCCTTTTCTGGTGCTTGCATTTCTAATATATCATCAAAATCTTCTTCTTCGAACTCACTATACTCTGAATATACACTCTCTGGTTCACTTTCACAGCTAGTATCTGAATCTTTGCTCACTGCTGTTTTTTTTCTTTCTTTTTACTGGTGGTGATGTTAAAGTGCTGGTAGATGTTGAAGGCTGGTTACCATGTTGAACAAACGTTACCACTTAAACACAGGTGGGCTCAAGTCACCCCAAAATCTGCCAAACTTGGTCATGATAAGGTAAACCCAGGCCATACTGACTTAAACCATTACATAATCAAACATGCTTCAACATGTTTGTGTTGTCAAGGAAATAATGAAATGGGGAAAAATAGTTTTATTTTCATTTAAGTGCAAATACCCATTGTGCCGATAACCTTTTTTCAACGTAATGAAATTCAGATTCGGACGTGTTAACATTATTATTTTTTATAATTATTAAAATGGACAGTTAAAATAATTGGAATCGTTTGTGGTGAAAGCTAATTAGGTAACCTTCAAATTGATATATAAAACCTTTTGATAAATCATTTAGGTTTTCTGAAACGAAAATTCAAAACTTTTTCTTGCGTTTTGGGCTCAAGTCACCCCACTGGGCTCAAGTCACCCCGTTTTACGGTAGTGTATTTGCTTGGTGGTGCAACACACATTTTATGCAGGCGAGGATTTAGTCTAGTTACTAAACAATGTAAGTACAGTATGGCCAGGGCAAAGAGCTTAGAGGAGGCCTAGGCCTTCCTACAACTGAGGGCTACAGTTTCTCGACTGGGCTACCATATTGACTGAAAATATTGATTAGGGTCAGTTCAATATTTTTAACTAGGTAGGTAACTTAAACTTACCGGTATGCCAATTATAAAATGAAACTGTCAACGTACCATCTTAACCTAACCAAACTTGCTGATTATGAAAAAATCTAAGTTAAGTTAATGAAGTCACACTTACTTTTAATTAATTAAATATTTTTAATTGATGGGCCTAGGCCTACTGGTACCGTAAGTTTAATTAGGGTAGCTCAGTTAAGGAACTGTACCCCAACTGAGCTTTTGACTCAACATAAGCCTAGGCCTATGCCTTCACTTTGAAGCGAGACCATAGTGAGAGGCCTGTACAAGCTAAAAAATGAGCCTTGTTGGTAAAAAATGACCAAAATGTGTTTGTTGCATCCAAGAAGGGGGTACAGTTTCTTAACTGGGCTATGTTTAATATCAATTGAAACTATCGAGTTGAAAATATTGATTAATAATCGATGTTTTTAAATATATCTATTATAAAATTAAACTATCATAACCTAACCTAACCAACCAAACTTGCTGATGGTGAAAAAATCGCATGAAGGTTTACTAATCAAATCAACGAAATTAGCATAGCCCAGTTAAGAAACTGTACCCTACAAAGGTTACCTATTCATCATCAATTTTAGTATGAGTCCTACGTACTTTTGATAACTTAAGCCTAATAATTCCAACTACATTTTAAATTACAGGCCTAGGCCTACCTTTGTTATTTCAAATCTATCACCACATGGGCAAGGGTAATAATAAACTTCATCATCTTCATCATACTCGAAATCTTCTATTTCAATTTCATCGTGATACACTGACATTTAAAAAAGTTGAATGTGAAAATACATCAAATTAAGAAAATATTACTATTTCATTAGCAGTTTCAGTATTTTTTGTGTTCCTATAAGTACAACACTACATGTTGGAGTTGGACAGACATAACCTAAATTAATTGAAGTTTCAGTTTCAGTTTCATCAGTAGTAAAACAGGTGACTTTTTTTAAACACATTGGCAAAATAAGAAGGCGTGGATTTTGTACCATGCTACTACGTAGTTACTCAATCATAGTACTAAGTTTTTGGGTTGGGACTTAGGGAGTATGTTTTATCTATGGTTGGGACTTGGGCGTTTGGGTATGTGCATTTGTATAGCATTCCTAGTTGTTCCCGTTCCGAACCGAAGATAGATTTAAGGCCGGGTCTACGTCTACGTGGGTGATTGCATACTATCCTGTTGCGTTGTGTGGTCGTATTAAAATCTCGTAGTTGAAATGTTTGATATTGTCTACAATACATTAATAGCATTCATAAACTGCGTGTTCATTTTTGTTAGATTACTAGAGACTGGACTGACATACAATAACTTAGTATCCAAAAAACTTTGTCTTGTGTTTCCTGCTGATGTTGTAAAACGTTCACCTGCATCACATTGACAAAAATAATTAATCCAATGACTTCTGTGATTTGTTTTTAGTACCACTTGCTTCCATTACACACATAAGTTTTATCTTAGACAACATGACTGTTAACTTCTAAACCCAACTTTACAGCCTAACAAAAATTAAGAAAATGTAACTGAACAGCCACACGTCTACTCTCTGTTACTTCACTAACGAGCATGACGTGATTGGAATCATCAACGCTGAACGTGGGATGACTGGTAAAGTATATATACAAGCGCAACAGTTAAAACCCTGTTCCCTGTTAAAACGCATCCGTTTTTGACGGGTGGTGAAACAGAGATAGTGTTGGCCCGGCATTATATCAATGCTAGTTCCAAAGTGTGGTAAAATAAAATATTTATTTCTCCCTAGCTTAAATGACAAACAAAAGATTGGTTCGTGGTAAACCGACTTCAAGTAAATGATGAAAAAACCCAGTCACTAGTCTGCACACTGAAACGAAGATTAGAGAAGGGGAGCACGGTAATGCTCCTAGGATTCATGGTGGATATCAGGCTAAGTTGGAACTAACACATCTAGAGTCCTCCATCTTTTCAAAAAACATAGGCCTGAAATTCCCGAAGATTCTCCTTTGTCAGTTTACTATGCCTTATTTCATAGCCATGCGACTAATGGGCTGGTATTGTAAAGGCAATCCTCAGCGGCTGAAGATTTGCTGCTCTTCTTGAGGATCATTACATCTGCTGGCTATTTGAAACATGCTTGCCTATCTTCAAGGGCTTAGCGCCTTTGGGGTCATCCACA